TGGTTGATGATTTTTTCTATGATTTTTTAATCTCTATTTATTATTTCCTCCATTATCTTATATTTCTCTTATGCTGACTTTTGGGGGTTTTTTTGCTCTTCTTTTTCTAATTCGTTTAGCTGGCAGGTTAGATTATTTATTTGAGATTGTTCTTTTTTTAGGAAGGCCTGTATTGCTATAAACTTCCCTCTTAGCACTGCCTTTGCTGTGTCCCATAAATACGTGTGATTGTGTTTTCATTGTCATTTGTCTCAAAGTATTTTTTAATTTCAACTTTGATTTTATCATTGACCCATTGGTTTTTTTAGTAGCATGTTTAATTTCCATGCTGTCATTTTTTTTCTCCATTGTTTTTCTGTAGTTGATTTCTAGTTTCATGGCATTGTGGTCAGAAAGGATGCTTGAGATAATTTCTATCTTCTTAAAATTGTTGAGGCTTCTTTCATGCCCAAGTACATGATCAGTCCTAGAAAATGTTCTATGTGCACTTGAAAAGAACGTATATTCTATTTTGGGGGGGGGTGTAATGTTCTGAAAATATCAACAAGGCTAATAGTTGTTCTGTTGTATCATTTAGTTTCTCTGTTGCCTTATTTTCTGTCTGGAAGATCTGTCCAGAGTGATGTTAATGGGGTGTTAAAATCTCTGACAATGATTGTATTCCCATCAGTTTCCGCCTTTATCTCTGTTAGTATTTGCTTTATGTACTTAGGTGCTCCTATATTGGGTGCATATATATTGATGAGAATAATATCCTCATCTTGTATTACTCCTTTAATCAATATAAAATGTCCTCCTTTATCTTTTTTATGGCTTTTGTTTTAAAGTCTATTTTGTCTGAAATCAGTATTGCTACTCCTGCTTTCTTGTCATTTCTATTTGCATGGAATAACCTTTTCCACCTTCTCACTCGCAATCTATATGTGTCCTTCTCCCTAAAGTGGGTTTCTTGTATGCAGCATATTCAAGGTTCTTGTTTTATTATCCAGTTTGCACTCTGTGTCTTTTGATTGGAGCATTTAGTCCATTGACATTTACAGTAATTAATGATAGATGTGTGTTTGT